ACCAAACAAACAAACAAACTGTGAAATTACAATTATTTGACCTTAAAGGTCACTGATGAGTGAAGGTCATAATCTATTTGGTCTACTAAAAGGTCTTGTTCAAAAATAACAAATTTATAGCTAATTAAAGAAACAAGACATATCGATGGGCAGAATGTCAAGCCCGATCGTCTTGATTCAAACCTAAACCAAAACTTTAGATCATGGAGAAAGATGTATAATTATGTAGGTGAGATTTGCACAACACATCCATTTCATACCCATGGCAAACTCTTTATATTGCATCATCTTAAATGACCTTGACCCAGTGACCTGGTTCATGTGCATGACACAAAGTCTCATGATGAACATTTGTCCCCAAAAAACTCAATTCATGTTATTTGAAAATTCCTCCATGCACAAAGAAGTTATGCATGGACAAGTTTGGATGCAAATACGCACACACAGTGAACAGCGATTTTGACAATGGTGTTGAGCTCAGCCAAAAAATTCCTCTGACTCCTAAGCAGAATACAATGAACTTCAAAGCATAAGCAAGATACAGAGCAGACAACCATATTTTAATATTTTTCATTGGACGTTTGATCACTTGTGACCTTGACCTACGTTTTGCTCAAGACAACTCAAATCATCATGGAGAATATTTGCCCTAAGTTGTATGTTAATAAAAATCAATGTATATAGAAGTTATATTGCAAATGAATGTTTAAATTGGTAATTTAACCTTTGAAGTGTGACCTTGACCTTTGCCACAGACACCTGAATTTTTAGCGCAACACTCCATATCACTATGGAAAATATTTTTCCCAAAATCATATTAAAATTCTTCCATGAATATAGAAGTTACTCTCCTGACGCAGACTTTGCGCTGACACCCAAGTGTGAACTTTACCTTGGAGTGGTGGACCTGGGTTTTATGTGCAACACACCACTCCATCATTGTGTACCAATTTATTTGTAATTCTTTAAAGAATTAGCAAAATATGGACCGGACAAATCCAGGCCAAAAAATTTTAATATTTTTATTTGACCTTTGACCTCTTGCGCAAGACAACTGAACTTAAAATGGAGAACATTTGTGCAAATTTATAATGTATATCACAAATGAATGTTTTAATTATTATTTGACCTCTAAGTGTGACTTTGACACTGCCTTACTATGGAGAATATTTTTTCCCCCAAGTTTTTTTTCAAAATCCCTCCATGCATGTAGAAGAATCACTCTGGACACAGGTTTGTGCTGACCCCCAAGTGTGACCTTGACCTTTGAGTGGCTGACCTTGTTTTTGTGTGAGACACAACACCCAATCCTGGTGAACACTTTTATCAAATTATTTTGTAATCTTTCAAAAAATGAGCAAGATAAAGACCAGACGGATGCACAGACAGAAGTGCAACCAATTTGAGAAAAAGGGCCATTTCTTTTCTTTTTTTTTGTTAAACAGAGGGTCCTATCCCTATTTGGTAGTGCAGACGCATAGATCCACGCACCAACGCACATACTAACGTTGATATGCACTGGACAATTGTGACACTTATATTATTGTTCATTTAAATCACAATCTGACTAAAGTTGAGATCTACTTACCGGGTATTTCTTTTATGTAGATCTGGTGATGACCTTATATGTTTCCCCATCTTTATAATTCTGATTTCCCGAGAAAGCTATTTTTAATCATGCAATTAAACTGGTTTTTACATAGGCATTAGAAGTATCAAAATATCGTTATCCGTGGAAGTTAATTGTTCTGAAACAAAATGTTAGAAGTAATTTTTAACAAATTAACTTGAAACTAGAACTATCACTGAATGCGATTCACCAATGTCCTTGACAGAAGACGACTTGGAAAGGTGGTTAAGGGAATAACTTAAGTGGCGCAAATACATAAAAAGAAATTATCTCTGGTGAAACAAGAACCGGTTGAACCGGGTGATGCTCCCCGAGAAGGTTCTGGACACAGGAAAGTATAAAAAAAATGAACAAAGGGCAAAAACTCCAAAATTAGGCAAAGCGGAGTTATGTTTTTTTGCACTGCACTTTTATTCAATGAGATCTATCTATCTATAAAGTTTCCTGATGATATCAGAATTATGTCCCAGGTAAAAGTCAAAGTGTAAAAATGAACAAAGGGCAATAACTCCAAAATTAGACCAGGCTTTGTTTAGGTTCTTTAAGCATTGCAATTCTATCCAATTATATCTAGCTACCTACAAAGTTTCATGTTTATATCTCTAATAGTTTTAAAGTATTGTCCAGGACAAAGTCAAAAAGTAAAAATAAACAAAGGGCAATTACTTCAAAATCAGGCAAGGCAGAGTTACGGTTCTTGTGCACTGCACTTCCACCCAATGAGACCTATCTATCTACAAAGTTTCATGTTGATATCTCTTATAATTTTAGAGTAATGTCCCAGACAAAGTCAAAGTGTCAAAATGAACAAAGGACAATAACTCCAAAAGTAGGCAGGCAGAGTTACCTTTCTTGTGCACTGCACACCTACTCACTGAGATCTATCTACCTACAAAGTTTCATGTTGATACCTCTTATACTTTTAGAGTTATGTCCCGGACAAATTTCAAAGTGTAAAATAAACAAAGGGGGGTAATTCAAAAATTAGGCAAGGCAGAGTTACGGTTCTTGTGCACTGCACACCTACTCAATGAGATCTATCTACCTACAAAGTTTCATGTTGATACCTCTTATAGTTTTAGAGTTATGTCCCGGACAAAGTTCAAAGTGTAAAAATAAACAAAGGGGAATAATTCAAAAATTAGGCAAGGCAGAGTTATGGTTCTTGTGCACTGCACACCTACTCAATGAGATCTATCTACCTACAAAGTTTCATATTGATACCTCTTATAGTTTAAGAGTTATGTCGCGGACAAAGTTCAAAGTGTAAAAATAAACAAAGGGGAATAATTCAAAAATTAGGCAAGGCAGAGTTACGGTTCTTGTGCACTGCACACCTACTCAATGAGATCTATCTACCTACAAAGTTTCATGTTGATACCTCTTGTTGTTTCAAAGTTATGTCCCGGACAAGAAAAGGGGACGGACGGACGGACGGACGGACGGAAAGACGGACGGACGGATGGACGGACGGACGGACAAGGCGGCGACTATATGCTCCCCCGAAATTTTTTCGGGGAGCATAAAAAAGACTAATTGTACAGGTAAAAGTATAAATATTCATTATCAAATCATGTTCGAAACAGTTACAAATAACCTTTCATTTTCCCAATATTAAACTTTTTATAAGTCAATTTTTGACCCTAAAGTGTGGCCTTGACTTTCAGCTGGCACAAGGGTAAGATGGATTCTGCACATCACCCAGTTGGGGTGAACATTTGAGTAAAGTTTGAAGAAAATCCTTCCATTAGTAAAGAATTTATAGAGCGGACACAACATATTGTCTAGTATTAATTGTATGTAAATTTAAAGACTTAAAAAGGGGCTTAACTTTGTCAAAATGCAATACAGAGTTATTGAAACTTGACCTGCATATCGTAATTGTGACACCACATATATTTTTTAAGTTTCAAGCAAATACCTGTGCTAGTTTCAGAAATATTCAAGTATGTGTTAAAATTTAAGAACATTTTCTAAGTCAATTTTTGACCTTCAAGTGTGACCTTGACCTTTAGCCGGCACAAAGGTGACATGGATTCTGCACATAACCTTGTTGAGGTGAACATTTGAGTAAAGTTTGAAGAAAATTCTTCGTTTAGTGTAGGATTTATAGAGCAGAAACAACATATTGCCTAATATTTGATTGTATGTAAATTTGAAGACTCAAAAAAGGGGCATAACTTTGTTAAAATGCAATACAGAGTTATGAAACTTGACCAGCATATCTTCATTGTGACCTTTCATATATATTTTAAGTTTCAAGCAAATACCTTTTCTAGATTCAGAAATATTCATATAAATGTTAAAATTTAAGAATATTTTCTAAAAGTCAATTTTTGACCTTCAAGTGTGACCTTGACCTTAAGCCGGCAAAAGGGTGACATGGGTTCTGCACATTTCCTTGTTGAGGTGAACATTTGAGCCAAGATTGAAGAAAATCTTTCAATAAGTGTAGGAGTTACAGAGCGGACACGACATACTGTCTAATATTTGATTGTTTGATATTTGAGCTTCAATTGTGACCTTGACCTTGAGCCTACACATAGACAACATGGGTTCTGCACGTCCCCTTGTTGAGGTGAACATTTGAGCCAAGTTTGAAGAAAATCCTTCAATTATTGTAGGACTTACAGAGCGGACACGACAAACTGTCTAATATTTGATTGTGTTTGATATTTGACCTTCAATTGTGACCTTGACCTTGAGCTGACACATGGGCAACATGGGTTCTGCACATCCTCTTGTTAAGGTGAACATTTGAGCCAAGTTTAAAGAAAATCCTTCAATTGGTATAGGAGTTATAGAGCGGACACGAAAATGGAGACGGACCGACCGACGGACCGACCAACGCGACAAAGCGAATCCATTATAGCCCCCTCCACATTTTGTGGTGGGGGTATAATAATACAGTCAATTTTTTATGGCCAAGATTGTTTTGCCAGTTCACATGTCGGCTATATGGACAACACCATGTTTGTTCTCGAAATTGTGAAAATTACCTACATAGTTTTGGTTTACCGTGGGTTAAAATTAGCAACCACATCGTTTTCAAAATTATGAAAGCTCACCAATGATTGGCTGTGTGAAAGGTCACCAGAAATGATTTAGTACTTATTTGGTCACGGTCAGATCTGAAAGCGGAGCGGTGATTTAGAGCTGACTTTAATTAGATTGTTTAAATCATAAACACAGCTGCTGCAAACTCGTGATATATGATGGCCGTTTATTTATTGATTCTTTTCTATACATGTATAACCATTCACTCTGGAACATTTAACTTGTTAACTGGGATACAAAAATTCAAACGTAGGTTCAGTAAATTGTTACCAAGAACAGATCCTTTTCAAAATATTAACATAATAACAAAATGCAAATCTCTGACTGATATATTTTATGTCTTTTATTTCATATAAAAAAAATAATTAAAAGAAATTTGTATATTGCAACAACAGTTCAATCAAAATACTTTAAGAAATTTTCAGTTAAAAAAGAAAATTTCTTAAAAGAACAGTTTCTTACATAAAACATTGTTTTCATCAAAGACAGTAGTTTTTCTATCACAGGCTAATTCAACATCTCCCTCCTCTATACTATCTCCAAAAATGTCCGGTGAAATACCAACATTTTCTTTCACAGGGTTCTCAAATTTCAACAGCACAGGTTTGTGTTTAGATACATTTCCTGAATCACAGTCTGGTGTATTGATCACTAAACATTTCAAAGCCATTCTTTTAGTACATTTTTCAATTCTATCTTTGTCATTTATCTTTTTCCCATTAAATCTAACGCAATGCAAGTTACTAACTTTTGTATTTTCTTTGGTCGAAAAATTTATATTGTTACACTGACTGGAAAATAGATCTGGTGTAACAGCTTGTGCTGTGTTACGTTTTTGTAGATCAATGTTCTTTTCATTTTCTTGTCTGTCATGAAGCACTTTTCTAGTGTCTAGTTTCATTGATTTTTCGTCAGGTTTTTCATGTAATTCATGATTATTATCATTTAATTGAGCATCGTAGATGAAGGAATCTGTTGATTCATTTAACCACAGATCTTGACTGTTAGAAAAACATTCAGCCATGTGCCCATTGTTATCTTTAACATTTTTCTCATTCACATGTTGCAACCCAACAATTTTTGCATTTTTCACATCTTCATGTTGCAACCCATCAGATTCCCTATCCCCAGGTTGCAACCACATAGTCTTGCAGTTTTTCACATCCATATGTTGCAACTTATCAGATAACCCACTGTCAGGTTTCAAACTACCAGTTTCCTTGTCTACAGTACCTGATTTATAAGAATGGCATGCAACATTATAATTTAAATCTAAAGGTGACCTAGCTGATGCGATAAAACTTCCACCAAATAAATCTGAGGATCCATCTAAGCACTCAGAATTCTGTTTAAAAACACTGTCTGTCTCAATATAAACACCCAAACTGTCTTCATTTACCTTTCTATTAACAAAATCTAACTTGGCATTTTCACATTTATCCAAAAGCTCTTGTTTAAGGGATATTTCAGGAACGTTTTTCAGAGACATCTTCTTGGACTTTAAACATGACTTTCCAGCTGAGACTGGTATAGTTAAAGGACTCTCATTTAATCTCATTCTAATATCCATCACATGACAAGTGCTAACTCTTCTCAACCTTTTGTCAAACTTTACTTTTCTCTTCCCAGGTAGCTGGTCCTCCAAATCTATTTCACTCTGACTGTCACATACACAAGACATGTCTTGACTTTCTAATATTACACACTCATCTAGGCCTGGTGTTGAAGTTCCAATTGGACTGTCTTCAAATAAATCTTCATTCAAACTTGCATTTTCAGAACTTGATTTAGTGCTGAAACTTGGTGTGCTAACAGTCAAAACATTCAAAGAATTTTGTTCATTACATCCATCTGACATCTCAAACAAGTCTGCTGAGTAATTTATACAACTTGATTCATTTTTAGTATCTTTATCGATTGTAAATTCAATTTGCAAATTGTTTATCTTTTTTGCTTCTTGAAAACGGTCAATTTCACTCCCATTCACACTTTGCTCTATCACTCTTTCACCAGGTGTAGACCTATTCACAACTTTAAGATCAACACTTTCTAAATCTGAAGAATGAGATCTTGCCTCTTGGTAAGTTTCAGAAGCTTTAACTGACTTGTTATCTGCTCTAAAGAAATTACTAATTGGCTTTAATTTACATGGTTTAAACATGTCTATTTTAAACTTTCTTTCCTCAAAGTCTGATGACTTATCTATAACACTGTTGTTTATGTCATCATCATGAAAATCATTGTTTGGTTTGTCTTGCACTAAATCATCTGTCTTCATCGACTTTTTCGGGCGGTGACTACCTTCCTTATGATTGGTAACACTTTCAACATTTCCATTTCTTTCTTGTTTGGACTTTTCTACATAGTTACTTTTAAATTCCATTAAACTTAAATCATCAAACAATTCTACGAAGTTACTTTCCATTTCTTCAGCGGTCTTTTCATCCTTCTTTTCCACATCCATTACATTATTTGCATCTGATTTTTGCCTTGAAGAACTGTTTTCAGCCCTTATTTCTTCATTTTCCACTTTATCATAATTTCTTTCATTTGAAATGTCAGCAAAGAAACAATCTAAGTCATCTGAATCACAGTTGGAATCCTGATAATAATCATCAGAAATTTTCCCTCCTGGCTTGTCCTTTTCAACAAATTTGTTTTCTTTGGTTTCCTCTCTGTCTGCCTCTTTGTCCAAATCACTCATTCTTGATGATTTCTTATCAACGAACAAAGTGGATGATACTTTCTGAATATTAACCACCTTATCATAATTTAGCAAGTCATTAAAAATAAGTTTGTCATTATCTATGCCTGCCTGTTCATCATCATTCAAACCGTTTTCAATTGTTGTACTACTTTCTTCCATCTCATGTAAAAAATCATCATATATTTCATCATTTATTTCGTGTGAAACATTACCCTCTACAAATTCCTCTTTGTTTTTCATACCAATGTTTTGTTTAAAACTTTCAAATCTTGTATCTCTGTCTTTATTTAAATCTTCTAGGCCATCTAAAGCTTGATCAGTTTCATTCCAATTATCCATTGTAGGCACTTCCTTCAGAGAAGTGTATGCTTCTCCTGCTGTCATTTCTACATTACTTTGTCTAACAACCTCTTCTTCATTCACCATGCATTTTTCAAGTTCATCCTTCACTATGCAATCTTCAAAGGAATCAAGGAAATCTTTAAATTTTTCTAAGTATGAATTTGCTTTATTTGCTCCCGTCTTTGAGCTAATATTTTCTGAATTTTCCGTCTTTGAATTAACTTTTTCTGAATTGTTTATAATTGAAAATGGTTTGTCTTTTTTCTTACAAAGATTATTATCATTCTCAATATCTCCGTTTTTAACAAACAGGTTTGCTTCACCATCATCAATTTCAGCACTTATATCATTATCTTCAATTACAACATCTTGTGTTAATTCTATACCTTCAAATTGAGAGTCAAAGAATGCATTAAGGTCTTCTGATTCAGGCATTTTGAGTTCCTCAATCAATCTATCTTTCTGTAATCTTGCTTTACTCACATCAACATTTATTTCCGTAGCATTATCAAATGATTCATTGTTATTAAGATGTCTTTCATTACTCATGTCTGTTTCAAATGTAATATCAGGTAAGTCTACATATTCAGTTTTGGTTATTTCCATTTTCAGATCTGGTTCATTTTTATTCTGATTTATCCAATTTCTTTCACCAGCAGCATTACTTGTGTAAGCTGATTTATTATCTGTATTCTTCTGCCATGTTACAATTTGTCTTCTTTGAAGTTCTTCATCTATTTTCTTGCTGGTGTTTGATGCATCACTTTTATTAAGATCATAAAAATTAAGTTTTTGAGCCACTGAAATATCACTATAAAAGGTAAAGGGATTGATATTTGAAACAGAAGGTGCACAGCTCCCATTTTGTGTGGTACATGTAAATTTCGACAGCACAGCACTGTATGACTTATTCCAATTTCCAACAGAAGGGAAACAACTGTCTCCATTGTCATTTACTGTATCAAAAGTTACACACCTTGGTAAATCATATACAATGGTCTCGCCTGCAAGAAAAATCTCTTTATCTTTCAAATCTATTAATGGAGCAGAAAAACTTCCATCATTTTCTACAGTGTCAAAAGATTTGTTTATTGAAACGCTACTCCTATTTCTACTGTAACTTTCAGGTTCTTGTAAAGAAGAACTTTGATTCCCGCTGGTCTCAAAGCTGAATCTTAAGGAATCTAGATCTGCACCAAAAGAAACAGTTCTGTAAGAGTTTGAGCTTCCCAATGTTCTAATGGATACATTTTTATTAGACTGGTTATTTTCCTGATTTTTCATTGACTGGTTTTGTTCAGGTGTTTTTAATGGTTTAGACTGGTTATGACTTCTCAGATGTTTCACAAACAATCTCATATGGTCAGTGACTGAGGCAAATACACCATCTGAACATGCAAGCATCTGGTAAGCTAGAGTATGAAAATTTTCAAAGTTTGACGTACAGTCTAGCTGGCTGTAACACAGACTATTTTCAGACTTTATGACATCTTTTAAAGATAGTTTATCTTCATCATCACTGGAACCAGTCAATTTGAAACCGAAGTAAAAATATTTCCCATGGAAGGTATTCAGTAAAGCCTCTGCCAACATTGATGATGCAGGATAACCAGTCCGCTCTAGATCACTAAGACTCCTGAAATTCAAATGATCAATTTTTATCTTTCACTTTAATTGCTTTAATTATATTATTTTCATACATTATTGATGATTATTCTCATTTATATGTTAATGCTTTAGAAGAACTTTATACTAAAATATATTTGATAAATAAATAAAATGAAGCTTAACAACAAAACATTAAGTTTGTCAAAATGTACATACTTTTTCTTTACATATTTATAAAATAATAAAAAGATTTTGATCTCTTGACTGATACAGAAATCAAATGGATTAATTAAATTTATTAGTAAGTAGCAAAGTAAGTTGCAGTTTAATTATACCAGTTTAATTTGAGTATCTGTTTATTTCATCTGCTAAATTCTGTTTACATGATCTGGTAAAATTCAGTCGCTGTCTATCAGTACCAACCAAAGTTCAATATCTGTTCATTTGCACAGCTTAAGTCAGTTGCAACTTAAGTTCAGTTTGTTTATTTTACCTGCTTACATTTATTTTTCCTGCCTAAGTCAGTCAGGGGTTTATTAATGAAAGTTAACGCTCGTTATCTGTTTATTACATGTTTATGTCAGTCACAATTTATTATTGAACCTGCCAAAGTTCAATATCGGTTAATTTTACCTGCTAAAGTCTGTGGCGGTTTTTCCAAAGAAGCCATCCAGTGTCTTGCCAAACACAACTATCCTGCCTAATGTTGTACCGTCTGCCACTGATAGGACAAGTCTGTAACGCCATTGTACACGCCTCCTGTCACAGCTCACTGCACACTTTATACAATGAAACCTATCAATATAATTATACAAAATTATATACTGTGAGTGGTATTACATGTAATTTTTCTAGTCGGTAAATGTTTTTATTGTCATAATTCATTCCTAAATCATGCCTAGCCCAACAACCCATTTTCCATTGAAAACAATTAGCTAAAAATAATGTTCTATTATTACATAAAGCATTAAAAGGTATTAGGACTCCACCTATGTTTTTAACATGACAAAACTTTTTTTTTTAGATTTAAAAGTTTTCTTAAATTCTACTGGTAATTACAAGCAAAATGAGTGGAATTTTTTATCTCTGTTCATTATCTATGTATGTCTTTCAAATTTTAAGTGCCCCAGTTGACAAATTTTAAGTGCCCCAGTTGATAATTGAAATTCATAATTATACTTTTGGACCTCTGAGAAGCTCCTTTAAAATCTGCTACTAGTACTTATATAGTATTGGCAAGAGTTCCATATGACAAATGTATAGATGTCTAGTTAAATTCTTTTGTAACTTTGTTTAAACTTCTAGATAAATCTACTTGTTCATCACCAAAGGACAAATCATTGAATTCTTTGGGGGGGGGGGGGGGGGGGTTTGTTTTGTTTTTTTAAATTCATAATCATATTGTCTCTTGTCTTATCCGTTGAAGAGAAAAAGTGTGAGCTGAGCTTTCAAATATTTTGAGGTTCTATCAATTTTAAACAATTTAACATTATTTTTAAGTTCTGGATTTACTTATAGCACTTTTCAAAATGTCCTATATAGGAATACAAGAGTAATGATCATCATGGGACAGTAAAACATTTGTTGGATGTAGCCGTAAACAAATTCTAGCCACATTAGACCAGCAATTCCAGAACGGCATCTAGCATTGGTAATCAACAGCCATAGGGTATACAGGTAGGTTACTGTCCGGAGACGGACTACAAGCCTGGAATGCTAAATCAATCCTCTTGAGGATGAAAATACTAAAATAGGTTTATTTGTTTGACTGGGTTTTACGTCACACCAACACAGTATAGGTCATATAGTGATGTTCCTGTTTTACTAGTGGAGGGAGATCTCAGATGCCCATCCGTGCATTATTTCAGGCACGAATGGGCACCCGAGTAGAACCAGCTAGCTGGATAAGTTCCTCACATAAAAGTATCCGTAGTCACTGTCGGGATTCGAACCCACAGCGGTGAGGGACATGCAGTTTGAAGTAAACAACCTTAACCACTCAGCCACTCACGCCCCTAAAATAAGTTTAATTTATATATAAACATTTCACTGCTGTCACAAGATTTGTACATGGTAATACTATACCTGTCTGTGGTAGGGTCCACCAATAGTTTACTGTAGCACAGATCACAACTAGGGTAGGTAACTGTTGTATCATGTATATCAGTTACCACAGCAAGAATCAAAACACGTCTTTCACACATCAAGTTAAAATTGTCACAAATGTTCCATAATTGTACAGTTTAAATTTACTGTTTAGAAACCATCATT